ATTTACGGAAATCATGATATGTTCACACATTGTTTTTGATTCTCCAAATTCAGAACAGATATCATGTGCTTGTAAACGTTCTTCTAAAGTTTTTGTTTGTTGTTGAACTAGACTTTTTAAACGTAATGTTGTTTCACTTGGTTCATGTAAATTATCTGATAAACAATAACCGATACGTTGACAAGTTTTTGGTGAATTAAAATTATTCATCTTGTCAGATAATGTTTGATAGGTTGATTGAACACGTGAACGACAAGATTCATCCTTGCATAAAGAAAGTTGATCTGCTGCTATTTCATCAATTGTTTCACGAAAACGATTTTGACGAATATTAAGTTCATTTGTACAAGTTTTACATGGATCTTCATTTGTTTTCATCTAAAGAAAAATCAAATATTTATAAAATAATGAAATATTTATCATCAAAAACTTACTTCAGATGATGAGCATAAACTTAATAATTGACAAGTACGTTTTGAGTCCTACAAAATAAAACGATATTATTTTTTTAATTCTTATCAATCACATACAAATCGTGCGACAGCTTTATTAACATTCGATTCAAATACATCAGCTAATTGAAGACACTAAATAAAAAAACATGATTAATTTAATTTCATATATTCTTCAATTATCTTACCACATCACGACCTGGTACATAATCACACATAATTCGTGTACTTGCAACAATTGCTCGCTAGAAAATCAATAACAAAATATTTCGATTTAACAAATATCTTTTTTCATTTACCATAAATTTCTCTAATTCTTTTTGATAGATTTCAACTTTATTCATACAACATTGACATTTATCATGACACTAAAAATAATAATCTTTAATTTCAATCAAAAACAAAAACTTTCTAAACCTACATTTTGTAATACAACATTTGATGGACATACATCAATTATTGAACATATTTGATGTGGATCGATAGTTTTAGAGAGTTGATTAAAAAGATTTAATCCTTCTGAATCGACTAATTGAACACACTAACAAAACAAAAGCAATCTTAGAATTAAAACAAATTGTTAATTTTACTAATGAAGATAATGATCCAAGTTTAACGCAAACATCAGTTTTAATATATTCAATGATTTCTTCCTATAAAAGAACGAGAAATAAAATTAACAAGAAGATTTATTTGAATAAAATCAATCAAGAGCTTTCGAATCAATCTACCTTTCTATTCCTTTTTTATATAAATATTAATAATAATCTGTTTATTATTATATAGAAAAAATTAATTGAAAATCTTACATTAATTGCGTTATTGGATGGGGTAATGTCGATTGTTTGAATAGAACTTAATGATTTTTGATCACACATATTTAACTGTATACAAATATTTTTTGGGTCCTAAAAATAAATCATAGTTGAAAGAAAAACAACGAAGATATTTTCATACTAATGATCGAATAAATGTAAGAAGTTCGTTAATTGAACCATCAACTGATTTTGTACACTAAATAATAAATAAATATCGTAAAAAAAACAAGAATTCTTGAAAATAATTCATACATCATCAGCTTGAGGTAATTGTTCACAGAAATGATGAAGAAATTCAGATGAACGATTCTGAAAAAATATATAATTAATAATAATCAAAACTATATGATTATTCAATACATACAACAAGTCTTTCAGCAATATGTTTTCGTCGAGTAAAATCTTTTACACAACGTTTACATTTACTTGGATCCTATGAAATACACAATTCATTTTCAATTAAAATCAAATTATATAATTACGTACATCTTTTAAAGCTAATTCATTGAGTAATGGTGAATTCTTTGGACATAATCCAAACATATGACATAGTTCATTACCATTCTATCAGTATAAGAAAATTAGTTTTTGTATATTTATGTTTATATAAAACATACGATTTCATGGGTAAGTATATGTAGAAGACGTGTACTATCTTTTTCTATTAATGCTTCACACTAAAAATGAAATTTATCTAACAAATATTTCATTTTTAAACTATGACATACGGCGCTTTTTAATGAACCAAGTTTACCACATAAATTATTCATAAGAAATGAATGCATTTCTTCCTAAAAAAATGTTGTATTCTTTAGTTTAATAATATATTCAGTTTTTTATTTTTTCTTACTTTTTGAACTGGACTCGTTGTATCAAGAATTTCACTATGGCAAAGTTGAAGATGTGTACAAAGAAGCATTGGTTGCTAAATATTCAAATTATTAGAATCTATTTTATCTATTCTTCTTTTCTTACTTTTCCATTGCGAATATCATTAACGAAATCTCTTCCATTGGTATCAATCATTTCTTTACATTTCTTCTTTGACATACCAGTTAAACGTGAACATACTTGTTCATCAATATAAAGAAGTACTTTATCCTTCAGAACAAAAAAAATATTATTTATAAATATTAAATCAAATGAAAGATCCTACTTCAGTTTTTTTAGCATCAATCATTTGTTTAGCTGTTGCTAAAACGAATGTACATAATTCACATGGTACTGCATGTGAGACAGGCTAAATAAAATAATAAATAATTTTCTTATCTGTCTATGAAATACATTGTCATCATACTTGTGGAGCAGAACTTTCAATATAATCACAGACTTTTGATAATTCCTAAGATGAATAATTTATATTTTTGAATAATTTTATTATTGAAATAGACTTACGACATTACTAGCAACATGTGCATAGATTTCATTACCATGTCGTTCAATTAAATCTTCGCACTAAGAAAATAAAAGATCTAGTTTTTAATCGAACTGTTTAAATTAATACTTTTTTTGTAAATTGAGTATTTGTTAAATGTTGACAATCATTTTTTAAGAATGTTTGAATTTCCATTCGAGATTTTTGTTGATTAACATGAAGATCATGTGTAGCACGAACGATTACATTACATAACATTTTTGATTGTTCATCAGCACTTGTTTCTTCTTTATTTTCATGAGATTGGAATGTTTCACTTGGACAAATATTCATTAAATGACATAATGTATCATAACGCTAAACAAATTCAATACAAAATCTTACAAGCAATTAATATATAATATTTTACTTGATGTTTCATTAATGTAAAAACTGTTGTTGTATACTTTTCCATTACAGTTGTACACTAAATTTTTAAATATATATACAAAAAAATTATTTTCTTAAACTAACTTTAGATGAAATATCTTCTAATGGTAATAATTTACATCCATCTACTAATGTTGATTTGATTAAATCCTGTGAAAGAAAATATTTTTTTTCTTATTAAGATATTTTAATTATTAATAACAAACTTCATTATTAACAATATTGTTTATAGCTTTATGAGTATTTTCAATAATCTTTTGACACCATTCACATTTTGTTGATAAATCAACTGTGGTATGTTTTCCATCATAACGCCAGACTGTATCAGTACAATGACGTAATGCTCCGCAATCTTCTGCATTTTGAAATGATTTACACCAATATGCTGGACCAAC